GGGTGGGGGGTGGAACTTAGGCAGAGCTTTCTCTTCCATTCCCTAAAGAAAGCTAAAACCAGGAGAATCTGCCACCACAACCTGAGCCCATCCTGCCGTGCAAACCTTTCAGGACATGCTTTCAGGACATGTTCAGCATCCCAGCAGACACACACATTCTTTAATTTACTTTGAAATCAGTGAAAATGACAAAAGCAATCTACCAGACCCAAGTCGAGAACCTCTCTGATGGCTTCCAACTCCCTTCCAGCATCCAACGCTCCCGTGAAGGAAAAAGCATGGAGGGACTCATTATCTGTGCTGAGCACAAGTGTCCACAGCCCTCTCAGAGCTTCAAACCCAGCAAGCTGACTGCAACCAATTTCATTACTGGTACTGGGGACATAACACAACCAAGTGTCATGTTCTTCCTACCCCAAGAGGAGAATTAATTTGTCTGTGAGAGGCTGGAGCAAGCCCTGGAGAAAGCATCTAGGAAATCTGGTACCATTCTGCATAGTGGAAACACCTAATGGGAAACTTCAGGCCTGGGGTTATGTTCTTATTTTGATCCGATGTAAAATTCCCATCCTGCCAGGTTAAGGTGTGAGCATCAAGGGGAGGAAGCCGAGGACCTGGCTGGTGAGCGGACTACAAAGCACAGCTTGGTTTTACCGCTGCTTTCTGCACAACAATGCTCTAACTCATGCTACTGCAGTGTCAGCTGTGCAACCACATTTGCTGCCTATGGTAGTTATTACAAAAGGTGAGCAAGGATTAATTAGAGAGCTGAACAGCTTCCCAGTTGCCCACAGAACCCCGAGCACAAATTGATTTGAGGACCAATGCCATCATTTCCTCTTTCTTGGCCAACATCATTACCTGGAACACCAGGTTCGGGTATGCACTGCCCTGCAGACTGCGGGCCACGCAGAGAGAGCGATCTGCAGGGTGGTAGCCTCTAACACAGGCTACTGACAGCTTGTGGGTGCTGGGGTGGCACTGCTAGCGCTTTCACCACCAAAACTGGGCAAGGAAAAGGACATTCGTCCACAGCCTCAGAGACTCAAGACTGTTTCACGCTCAAATCTTGGTGCTGCAGAAAAACGCAAAACAATTTAAAAAGACTTAACACATGGTATAACCTAAAGGAGCCAGTGCCTCCACTCACACCAGTTTGGGGAGCTGGTTAACAAATCAGCCAACATGTACGTTTACGCCTCCTTTGCACTATTAGTAAACTAGACCTGCAAATTGCTGGTGTGTTACTAAGCCACCCAAAATAAAGCAACTTATGATGACGTAGTAAGGTACACTTACAACAGCAAGCTAAGCTGTTGTCACATCCTTTACCCTGTACAATTCATTCACAAAGAACATAGGAGTACAGGGATATCCCCAACTCTGCTTTTCAGATGGAAGCATTCAGAGAAAAACTACTTGTAAATACCAGCTTAGAAACTGTATTTGTACTCATCCAATCACAGAATCACAGAATCACAGAAACACTAGGTTGGAAAGGACCTTCAAGATCATCAAGTCCAACCATTAATCCAGCGCCACCATGTCCCCTAGACCATGTCCTGAAGCACCACATCCACACGTTTCTTGAACACTTCCAGACATGGCGACTCCACCACCTCCCTGGGCAGCCTGTTCCAATGCCTGACCACCCTCTCAGTGAAGAAATTTTTCCTAATATCCAATCTAAACCTCCCCTGGCGCAACTTGAAGCCATTTCCTCTTGTCCTATCGCTAGTTACTTGGGAGAAGAGGCCAACACCCTCTTCGCCACAACCCCCTTTCAGGTAGTTGTATAGAGCGATAAGGTCTCCTCTCAGCCTCCTCTTCTCCAGACTAAACAACCCCAGTTCCCTCAGCCGCTCCTCATAAGACTTGTGCTCCAGAGCCGCTCCTCATAAGACTTGTGCTCCAGAAATACATAATCAATACATCAAACCGCACACCATGAGAGACAATGCAATTGAGTATAAATAAGCAAACAAGCCTGACTTGTGACAAATCCATAGGATAAAAAAATGAGGAAACATAGTTACAGGACCTATCTGAGTAATGGACTGGAGTAAGGTTCCTCCGTCTTCACTGAAATGCATCAGACTGATTAATTCACTGTAAATTATTTACACAGCTATAGCCTCAAGGGAACATATTTGGAGGGAGGGAGGGTGGAATTCCTATGATATTTGCAGTTTTTCATAAGTAAACCTTTGAAAGGGAATTAATTACACTGGAAACTCCAAGTAGGACGGAATCTGCCCATATACAGTCAGACATGCCACCTGCCTCCTCATCCAATATATAGATTCATTACCCAGCCTATGGGTTCAAACCTTATTTGCATGTGCATATAGAGGTACTTGGCAGAAAAATAGCCATGGATACAAAAATAAAGCAATTTTTTTGTTGCTGCAATGAAAATTTGCCCCTACTCTGACTTTCAGTTCTCAGACTTCTCAGCCGATTGGCTCATCCCAGACTGTTAATTGCTTTCAGGTGGGAGAGCAGGAACCAGGATGTTAGATCCCACGCAACTTACCGGGTATAGTAGGAATCCACACCCAGAGCCTCCCGCACACTTGAAATGTACTGTTCCAGCGCAGAGTTTGTTATTGTTTGCAGAGTCACACTGTTGGCTTCATGGAAGTCCCCAGCATTTTCTGCCAGGCTGTCACCCAGGTAATACTCATGAAATTTCAGAATTCCTGCAAGGCACCAGAATCATGAGGTTACTTCTGAGGGGCAGGAATAATGCTGCCAGCAACTGTCTAGGGAAGTGGTACAGCCCCTAGCATTTGGCATTTCCAGCACAACCGGGGCAAAGCATTCCGTGTCATGTCTCCACAGGGCTTTTCCAGCGTTATGTATTACAGTCTTGCTTTTAAAATCTGGTTTTGTACTTTGCAGATGATAGCTCAAAAGTACAAAGGCACAGTAGTGCTTTTATGAGATGCTCAGAATGCATTTGCTATTGCAGTACTCATATAAATTATAAAACAGATCTTTCATACAAGCACCTACCAGGGTAATTCGCATTTCAATAGATGCACATGAAAAATACCTATTAATAGCCTCTGATCACATAAATTGAACACACAAGGCTCAAATGCTGAACAAGAGTGTTATTACTACAGCAGAACCTCCTCACATCAAACAAAGATTTTTCATTTCACTTATATGCATGAAAATACATTATATACAAAGAAAGAAAAAGATGGCTTAATGCATAGTAATATTAAGATAGCATTTCACAATGGGTAAACTCGATAAAGCACACTCACTGCTTTGTTAAGAATTCAACTATTACTGCAGATAAAACCTTCCTCCATTCAGACTGCCATATCCTTCCAGATATAATTAATTCTACAGCTTGTGATCAACAATAAAAGGCTGCTCTGAATGCTCTGTTTGCCTTGACAACATAAATTAACCAGTTAAGAAGAGTGGAGGAATAAAGAATAAAGCAATTCCTTCTGCAGCAACAGCAGCAAATACAGAATCAGTGAAGACACTCCAAGGGTACCATCTCAGTGGGATAATGAGGATCATGGGCTGCCACTGAAGCTACTTTTTCTGTCAGCCCTAATGAAACAAGAGGTCACCGTGGCTGGGCTGGAGTCACCACTGAAGAGCTCCCCAGCAAAGCTGCTGTACCCCTTGAAGTACCACAGTCCCTCTCCTTCCCAACACCTGACAGTGCCTTCAAGGAGGCAGTCACAAACCCATGTACTTGAAGAGTGCAACTGCTTTTCTACAAGACGCAGTTTGGGCAAGGAGAAGACTGGTCATGAAGCCTAGTGGCAAACCCTACACTTCTGATACATGTAATTTTAGTAAGCCTAGCTTAATATTAATACTATAGAATTACTGGCATTTTATTGTGCGGACTACAGGCCTGAAGAGCCAATTTGTGACTGGATGCATAGCAGGACAACACTACCTTACACTTATATGTGCAACATTGCAAAACGTGCCCAAACAAATGTTATCTTCCAATCAATGTCATTCCATCTGAAGTCAGGCACATATGAATGTTTGCTTCCCTTCCTGAAGCATTTTTGGTGCAGTCTAAATAGTGCTTTTTATCTCTTCAGCTTTGTGATGGTGAAGGGCTGCAATTATTAAATTATATCCAGAAAGAACTCATGAAAATTTACAGTCATCACTTTATTAGATAATGAAAAACAGCTGTCTGCAAAAAGCAATCCTCTTCTAATTAATCCTCCTTGCTCCTCTCTGATAAGTGTTTCCACATTCATATGAGGAGAATTCAGAGGATCAGGCAGTTCAATGGCATATCAGGAAGCAGGGAAGCACTTCTGTTTTCTGCAATCCACTTCAGTGAATAAATGTCAAAAGCTTTTGAAAGGATAAAGCACAGAAATATAATTAAAGTAGGGATTCTTATGCATAGAAGATTCTCACAGAGCCAACATACTTGCAATCTCATTACTGGTCTGCTCTGCCTTGTGGGAAATTATATACAGATTGTATATATTAATGGAATATATACAGATTGTATATATTAATGGAAGTATTAAACACGTGAAACATTTCCATCTCCAGGTGAACATCAAATCCCTGAATAAGCATTTCTATGGCTATGCCATAGTTTTCAGTCTATTCAGCTTTAAGGTATCAGATGGAAAGGATTCCCTTGTATGTTCACTCTGGTGCCAGATTCATTCCTAGCTACAAATGGTACAACTCTCCCTTTGTAAGGCTTGTTCACAGGCTCTCATCTCCAAAAAGGACCTCACCTGCCCCAGGAGCCAGCAGCCAGCTGTACAGATAACCTGCAGCCAGTGAGTAGTAAAGAACAAGTCCCCTCTGGCCATTCACTGTCTCCAGGACCTGGTCAATGGTCACCGGAGAATAGGGATCAGAGTCCTGCTGCCCAGTCTGACGTTCCACGAGCAGGTCAGCAAATGCCCTCGTTCGTCCTCTCTCTGCTACTGCCAAAGCTTCATCATGGTGACCTGAAAAGACAAAACCATCTCTCAGACCTGACACCAATGTGGTCTGCAGCACAGTGTGCAGGAACAGAGACAGCTGCTATCCCAACCCAAACTAAAACCTGGGGAAGCAGGGTCACAGCACTTATTTCTGGAAAGAGTAGTCTCTGCTGGAATACAGTCCCACAGATCATCTTGGCTGCAGGCAATAACACAATGTATGGGAAAATGAGCCACAGAGTGGCAAATGAATGGAGGAAGCAAGAAAGAAGATCCAAAAGTGCCTGAAATCCAAAGCAGGGACACTCTTATTTCTGTCTTGGCAAAGAAATACTGTGGTGTGTCAGACAGATGAGGAGTGAAGGATGTGTCATGAACTGCCTCTCCACAGCTTCAGCTGAACTCTTGGCATGAGCTTGGAGTTCAGACTCGGCATATGATGGCATCTCTTACCGAGACTGACAAGTACTCGCTGCAGGGCCTGATAGGAGGATGTCTGCAGGTCGAAGAGTGACAGCTTGTAATCTGTGCTCAGCTGCACCTCATGTCGGATGTTTTCGAACAGTGCCGAGGCCCGGTACAGCTGAGAGGGAAAACAGCCACAGTGACTTCCTTACAGACACAGCACAAAGCACCGGCTGGGAGAGCAGGAGGATCCAGGGCCAACATACCCTCAGGCAGGGGAGGTCTGCCTCAGACAGCCCCTCAGGATGGCAGCATCCCTGGGAGAGGGGAGGTGACTTTGGATGGAGCAGGAAGGCACATGGGCCTGAGTTGGCTCAATGCGTTACACACCCTCCCCAGGATGCACCTCCCCTGAGGTTTCCTCCCCTGAGGACAGGAATGACCCAAAGGGCTCAGAGGACACAAGCCTGCCAGCACCAAGCAGACAATGGTATACCTGGTGCTGAGACTCTTCCAGGTTCCCACTCGCCCAGAGGGAGAGGCCGAGCCCATGGCGGATTTTGGCTTCATCTTCTCTGCGTCCCAGCTGCTCTGCCAGCCTCAGTCCTGAAAAGGAGCCAGAGTGAGAGAGGGCCAAAGGGGAGAATGGGCTTTGGCAGCCAGGTAGAGCACTTCTGCCTCAGCAGCCTGGAGGGCTGTCAGCTCGGGTGGGCCCCGGGTCTCCAGAGCTCCTGTGGCAGGCAGACAGCCATGGAGCTGCCGAGCAGTGGGACGCTGAGCGGTGGGATGCTGAGCAGGGCAGGGCCAGCACTGGGCAGCTGCTGCTGACACTCAAATTGGCACCAGTGTAAGAGGTGCCTCAGCAAGACAGGTATTTCCATAGATTAAGACCTCCCTAAGTGAGGTCAAGGTGCAGTCCCCTTGAGACATACTCAGTAAGCCCCTATCAGGAAGTTTGACTTTTAAACCTTAAAAGTCACACAGACAAACAAAATCACACCGAACTGCCAAACACTGCCAGAAAAGACATCCCCTGCCACATGACCGCCTCGTTTCCCAGCAGCTCTCCCCAGCCTTCTGGCAGGCCCCACACGGTTTACATACTGAGCCAGAGCACAGGGGGCAAGGTCCTGGTGTGAACGACCTGGAGCTCGTTTCACTTATTGCCGCTTCCACCACGCTCCAAACCTCTCGCCTCCATGGGCCCTGGACAACAGGGACTCCTCCTCTTGGGCGCCTTAGGTTTCCCACAGACTGGAGAGTGGGGGCCCTGGCCACAACCATGCAGCTCAGCAGCAGTGAGCATTTGCAGACTTTTCAGGAATTCTGCACCACACCAGAAGAAGGAGCTGTGTTTAAATTCTCCCCTTCCTACTTAATTGAATTCCCTCAGCATACTGGAATCTTGCCAAGGTCAGTTTCAGGAAAACCAGACTAACTGATGTAATTAATCCTTCAGCTTCCAGCTTCATACACTCCAACTACACTGCTCATCTCCTCCATCAGAGAGCCATCACCTTGAACAGATGCTGCTTGCATGCTGGAATCCCTTGCAGCAGCACAACTCATAAGCCAGTGCTGGCCTCTGAGCTCAGCAGCAGCAGCAGATGGCTTCCAGACACTGAAGACTGAACCTCCCTCACCTCCCTATCAAACACAACTTGTTTTCACTCACAGCATAGAGGACACTCACCCATCTGGTCTCACTCCCAACTGAACACAGGAGAGGCCAGGTAGCTACCAGCAAGGCACCCATCAGTTTGAAACCTGCTCTGGGGATCAGAGAGATCCAACACAACCTGATGTGGTTTTCCCAGAGCCAGTTCCTGGTTTGCAATGCTATTTATAGAGAAGGTTTACACCTTCTAGGCTCAGTCACAAACGAGCTTTATAAAAAGACTCTGCCCGGTGCAGTCTGGATTCAAGCTCAAGAGCTAGCTGAGACGCCCACAGGAAGGCACAGATCATGCTTTGCAATGCTTTGTCTACATGACACCAGGAAGGCTCTGACTCACGTGGCATGTTGACCATAACAGGCCACTTCGACAGCTACTCACACGGATGCTCACCAGTAGCTATGGATGTCTGCAAGAGCTTTTGCATCAAAGGCTGCTGTCAAACACATCCTTCTAGTGCTACGCTCACAGTACCTCACTTCTCTCCATGTTGTCAGGCCTCCCTCCTATCCCCCCGCACCTATCGCTACATGCTGTGTTGCACAATTCAGCCTCTTACCTTCCTGCAGGTACATTACAGCCTGAGAGTAGTTCTGCAAGGCGTGATGAGTCCTCCCCAGACTGCTGTAAGACACAGTTTTAGCTACAAGGTCGTTCATTTGTGCTGCAATGCTGAGGTGCTGCTCCTGATAAACTACTGCCCTCTCATAGGTGCCCAAGGATTCGTAGGTCAGGCCCAGATTCCCATAGGCCCGGCCTTGGCAAGTGGGGTTGTTGGTCTCCTCCGCGATCTGCAGGTCTAGCTGGTGATACTGCAGGGCTGTGTCATACTCTCCCATCTGCTGGTAGACCCCACCAAGGCCACAGGCAGCATCGCTCTCCAGAGCTCGGTCCTTCATCTCTCGAGCAATGTTCAGCTGGCGTTCCAGGCACGAAATGGCTTGTTCGTAGTTCCCCAGCTGGCTGTGCAGGCTCCCCAGCTCCCCATAGGCCTGGGCTTTGTTAAATGCCTCCCCCAGCTCATGCGCCACCACGAGCCTCTTCTCAAAGCACACAAGAGCCTGCTGCAAACTTCCCATAGCCCTACAAGGGAAGAAAACGACAGCATTTATTTTGCCAGTATTTTCTTTGAAGAAGGTATTTTGTCATTTCCTCTAGTGGTCAGCTCAAGCCTTTCAGGCAGAGACAAACACTCCCCCCCCGGAAACATCCCCGGCACCTTTGAATCAAGCTCCTTCTTCTGCCACCCTATGAACTTCTCCTCCTCCCAGGGCAGAGCAGCATCAGCTTCATTATTTGAGCTGGTAGCAGAGTCCTCAACGCCAGGACTCTGCTACTTGCTCCTATGCCAGATCTCCATGCATGCATACAATGGCCACACAAACACACCCCATCAGTAACACAATGCATCCCTTTGTACTTGTACTTCACTGTCTGTCATTAGAATATATATGTAGTGCTCCTTACCTGTGCCCATTGCCCAAGCCCCGGTAGGCCTTTGCCTGATCTTGCATACGGTTCAAGCTTTGAGCCACGGACAAGTACTGTTCATAATACTTTATAGCTTCCTCAAAATCTCCCAGAGCCTCATAACAATCACCAAGGTTCCCATATGCTCGGCCCCGATCTAACACAGATTCATTTCCACTGAGCTGCTGCAGCATGGCCAGCTGCTGTTCAAAGTAGCCAATAGCTTCCTCCATGACATTCATGTTCATCTTGGTAATGCCCATGTTACCATAGACTTGGGCTTCTATGCTGGGGTCCTTCAACTTCTGCCCAAGCTCCAGCTGTTCTTCATAACACTTGAAGGCCATTGTGTACTTCCCAAGTGACATATACACTGCAGCAAGGTGACCATGTGCTCTGCATTCACCTGGCATATCTCCCAGCTCCTGGTACACCTCCAGCTCCTGCGTGTGGTAACCTAAAGCCTTGTCACACTTCTGTATCATTCTGTATGCAGAGCCCAAGGCTGCATAGGCACTGGCTTCCAGTCTCCTGTCTTTAACATGATGGGCTAAGCTCAACTGCTGCTCATAAAATTTTATTGCACCATTTACGTCTTTTTTACAGACAAAAATATCCCCCAAGTTCCCCAGAGCTCGGAATTTGGCCTGGGAATTGTTCAGAGACTGGGCCAGAGACAACAGGTACTTTTGACACTCCTCTGCTTTGCTGAAGTCCATCAAGGCTTTGAAGGCCAGGCCCAGGTTGCAATAGGCTTTGGCTTGGCTCAGCTTGTCATGAAGATCCTTTGCTAAGGCAAGATCCTGCTCATAGTACTTAACAGCTTCCTCGTAGTTCCCAAGGCAGTAATGGGCATAGCCAAGGTTATGGCAAACTTTCCCTTCCCCTTCCATGTCCTGCAGCTCAGGGGACAAGCGCAGGTACTGCTCGTAGTAAGGGGCTGCCTGCATGTATTCCCCTCGTGAACAGTGGAAGTTGCCCAAATTGCTGAGGGCCCTTGCTTCACTCTGGATGTCTCGCAGCTCACGTGCAATGTTCAGATGATTTTGGTAGTGCTGCAGAGCTCGGTCATGGGCACCCAGTGCTTGATAGGCAACTGCTAAGTTTCCGTGTGTAGATGCCTGAGAGGCACGGTCATTTACTTCCATGGAAATCTGCAGCTCCTGCCGATGGTACTTGACAGCCTGGTCATACATGCCGAGAGCGTTATAAGCATTGCCCATGTTGCCATAGGCCCGTCCCTGGGCTGCATAATCACTTAGCTCCTGAGCTATGGACAGATGTGTCTTATGGAGCCGCAGCGCAGTGTCATAGTCGCCTTTCATCTGGTGAATGATTCCTGAAAAATAACAGAAATGGGCTCAACAAAAACATTCCTCCACGCTAACCCTTCTGCAACACCTTGCTATGCCAGAACTTTCCAGCAGCCTGGCCCTCGTCAGCTCATGGCCTGGTCCCTTCCCCCAGGCTCTCTACACAAGGCAACCCCATCCCTTCCTCACAGCACCCTGCTGCATCCCTGGCACAGGCCCTTCTCAAGTAGACTGCTTCTTTACTCCTAACAGGCAAATCCTGGAGAAGGTTTTATATTACATATGAAGCACACACCACCACAACAGCTGGACAGTTTGGTCTTATAAAATGCCCATTTTCTTTTGTAATTATGCTACTTTTTTTCTTCCCCCCATCAGTGATACCTGGTGACTCCAGAGCTCATATTCAGCACACTGAGCAAGAAAGCAATTTGCATTTGCTTTTCGATTTCAGTCAAATCATTTTGTACTTGTTATGAGACTAATTTTACACCTTATGCTTCAGTTAAACTCTGTGCTAACACTACATGTGGCTCCTTTGCAAACACATGTGAACAGGCCTGGAGATTAAGGAGCCATGGAAGGAGGCCCTGCAAACACAGATCCTGCAGATTCGTCACAGTTACTTGATACCTGAAGACAACTTCAGGTCTTTCCCTGTCCCTAAAAGAAAACAGCTTCCAATTTCCATCTCCATATCGTCATCAACGTGTTGAGGTGGAGGTCATGCGGAAGGTCAGGAGGCAGCTGCCTTCCCCCGTCACTGGCAAGCGCAGCATGCTGTGATCAGGCCCTGTGCATCAGCCCCCTCTTCGTTTGTACTTTTGAAAAGAAATTTGAAAACAAAGGCTTTCCAAGTGAGCCTGGAACATGAGGGCTGAAATTTGCTTTCCTGAGGCATTTGGACCTCGCAGACTCGTTTTTTGAACTCCTGTAGGATTGAAAACCCAAGTTCCGTTACATCAGCATGAAGCACTGTGGCTGAATTACCTGTATTTCTATCAGAGCAAGTCATTAAAAAATTCTGCTCACTTTTCTATGAACATGAGGCTTCAGAAGGCAATTTAGAAAATATGGGCAGAACAAAACAGGATCAAACCAACAAACGCTTGGCTGCTGTCTCCCCCTGCACTGCGATTGTGATCAAAACTAGAGCTCATGGCAGGAGGGACTGCCTCCCTGGTGTCTTAGTCCAGCTCCTGGCCAAATCCTTTTTCAGCTCCAACAAGCCTGCAGCTCTAACTGATCAGCATTAGCTATTGCATATCTGGCTGATGCATGCTGATGTTTCCCTCCGGTATGACAAGGGAAGGTAGTGGCAGCAAGGATGGGGTGAACTAAGCTAAGTCACGCCATGTGAATATTTTGGCCCTCCATCTCCTATCTGGAGACAGGGCCAGTGCTGGCTCTAGGTGGACAGCCACACCGCTGCACACCACAGAGTGCTCACAGGAAAGACCACAGATTTCTGCAGAAAAAACATGAAGTAATTACAAGGGGTGGGACTGGATCAGACATAAAGCTACGCTAACTTAGAAACTGCAAAAACAGTCACTGTGAAAGTGTCCCACTGCTTTAGAAACTAAAAAAGATGGAATTAGCTAAATCTCTCCCCTGGAAACAGCAAGAGGTGTCTGAGCTGGAAGGAGGCAGAACCAGCACTTCCCCGAAGAGCCCGTGCTCCAAAAATGCTTACATCACCAAGTCATGACATCACCAATAATATCCCAGGCAGAAGTGGCTGTTGCAGGACACGAACGAACTCATTAGCGAGCCTCTCTAGAAAAGCACATTCATAGATAATTTCCTTAATGCTTCATTAATCCCAAGTATGTCATGCCGAGAAATAAAACGCAGTCTTACTTCTCAAGGAACAGAGTAGGAAAAATGCCACCAGGATACTGCCAGGAGCTACCAGCCACAACTTGCTGATGCTTGCAGATGCCAAGAGGCTGAAATAGAGAGTAACAGGACAAGCAGAAGGAGGACCGGCTGGAAGGTCAGACACCTGGAGGAACTCAGAATAGCATGCAGACTTTTCCCACCGCATGGCTGGAAACACCCACCCACCCAGATCTTACAGAGAAACTACAGGGACACAGTCTGCCAGAGACGCACGGGCACCACAGGCTGGCTGCTAATACCTACTGAGCCTTGCTGCCCCTGCTTTGTTGTTGCTACTCAGTGGGTTCCCATCATCCTTTCTGTACAAGCTGCCATCCCTGCCCCTAATTTCCAAGCATCCTGACCTGTCTCTCTCCCATTAAACGGCAACTGTGTTTTCCCATCCTCAGCCTATCCTCAGCTATACACTTAAACAAAATTTTTGTCAAAGCCAGAGACAACCTTGGCCCTGGACTGTAGACTCAGGGCTTGCTCTGAGGGGATGCTGACTCTACACCTTGCTACTAGGTTCATGTATGTTTTATATGTGAGCCATGTCGAGCATCAGCTGTTCCACATTCTTTCCCATGTCCTGCACAATACAAGCTCCTTAGCTGCAATCTTTGGCAACAAAACAACTGCAAGAAACAGACCAGATGCCCCTAAGGAAGGAGAGAGACTCATTTTGGTCTGCAAGGGATTCTGCTCATCTGGAACATGCAATAATTACTTTATTTAATAACCATCTCCCCAAATCTATCTCAATTTCCAAGTTGGTATCTTGGAAACCAAGATGACACCCAGGCAGGTCTGGCCTGTGATTTGGTGTTTCTGTTGTCCATGTGGCACTGAGATGGGAAAATTGAGGCTGAGAAAAACATCTGCAAAGCTGCCTGCCTGCGAGAGGTGTTGGAGCAGCGTGGAATGCAAGTTCCTGCTTTTAGCACCTAGTACATTAAAAAAATCTATTAAGAGATAATGTGAGGGCATTAGTGTGAAATCCGTATTTTAGCTTACAATTTCTCTCGTGCCCAAAAAATCCTTCTAAATTGGTCTTGTACTAGTGTATCTATTAGCCATTACAGTCCTCAGGCCAGATCACTGCTGTGCACAGAGCACAAGATGCTTGATCAGGCTGAGGTTCCTCTGGCCACCCATGGATCATCAGCTTTAAGATGTGGATCCTGCTTCTGTCACAAAGTTCCTCTCTTTATTTTTCTATCTCAGCCCTCTTATCTTCCCTGGATCAACATCTCTGGTAGCACTGCAGATTATTTTGGCAAATACTCAGCTGACTTGACAGAGAAGGAAAAGTCTTTGGTATCCAAAGTCATTTAAGAAGGCCCTAGTGAGCAGAAAGGATGCGACAGCTCAGCCTCAAAGCTTAAACACCCTGAAGAAACTCCACTGTGAGGAACAAGAAAAGTCAGTGCTCAGTGGTCACCATTAAAATGCCATTGACAACTCAGACGCTGTGTACACAGGAGTGGTGGATGAAAGATGAGGATGCTAGTGAGAAGTCCTATGCTTGCTGTCATTACCTCTCTCTCTCAACATGGAGGAACTCACAACGGAGGAAGAGTGTCGGGGATGCTGACCCAACCCAGACTCTCCCACTACCACTTCATACTATAGTTGAGGATAGTTAAGAAATGGAGTATCTGAGGCTGGAGATAATAGGAATTCCTGCCCCAGGACACCAACCCCTCCTGTCCCACATGAACGAGAAGGAAAGTAGGAGAGGAAGATGGCAAGTCAGACACAGAGCATGGCTTTGAAAGGCAAAAGGCAACCAGAGAAGTAAAATTCATACTAGAGATTAGGGCAACAGGTTACTGAAAGAGACAGTGCTGCCACTCTCTGGAGAGGCTACGGATGGAGTTTCACCCTGGATACTATGTCCACCGAAAAGGCTGCTCTCTGTCACAAGCCCTGCTCAATCAAATTCCCAGAATTTCATCTGAAAAATTAAGGTTGCTCTTGGGAAAAGAGCAACCTGGTAAGGGACCCCACACAGCACCTCCTGGTATGTTTCCATCATTTGCCCGAGGTAATTGCAAAGGACGGCCCAGGAAGGAAAGGTTCTAGACTCAGACTCCAAAATCATCACCTACCAAATATATTCTCTCTTTGTGCATTCCTCAACAGACAAAAATGAGGTTCGTAGATGGATGGGATATGAAGCCTTCACAGTTCTAAATGTTTTAGTCAGCCTCTTTACTGCCAAGAAAGGAGAAAAACAGTGAGCAAATTTTTACCAGGAGACAACCAGGAAAAAACCAAGTAGCATAACAGAGAACAAAGCTGTGCCACCCTCACCAGCAGAGCCTGCTATCACATTAGTTTGCTCGAGCTGTCACCGATTTGTTGTGGCATTTGAGGAAAAAGGATCCAGAAACACACTGTCACTTCAGAATATCACCATTCTGACTCATTTTTACAGCTATAATTATTGACTTCAAAGTAAAAGATAGTCTTCTGGTCAGGCAGCTACACTATATTCTGGAATAGCACATGAAGGATAGAGCAGAACAGACCCAAGCAGAAGAAAGAACAAGCACTCAGCAGACATGAGGGGAGACAGCCAGAGATACCCTTTACTGCCTTATACAGTGTAAAGCACCAAAAATGGCACAAATTACATTAATTCACAAGTTTTCTTTCTTTAATGATGAATACAGTTAGAACGGGGTAGAAACCTGTATAAGATATCAGCAAAATAATCATAAAAGTGACATTCTGCCTATGCAAATCACCCATTTTTCCAATTCAGGCAATGAATCAGTAAGGTGAGAGAGAAAGTGTCAGACTAACTTTGGAACAGTCTTTGCAGCTGCTGTGCTGGACCCCGGCAGGCGGTTGCAGCAGAAGTCAAAGGGACCTCCAGTCTCCCACTAGCATTAGCCAGTGCAGAACAAACCTCTGTGTCGTGATGGGATCACAGCTGCAGCACGGCCTCCAGCTTAGACTGAGGTAACATCAGTCTTGACTGAACCTGCTCTTTCAGAATGAAACACGAACATGCTGAATGTTGAAACGGAACAAAAGTGGTTCTGAAGTTCACCCATGTGAGAACCATGTCCCAGACACATTTGTGGTGCGGACAGGAGAGCCTAACAGCATCCACCGTCTCATGCATGCTCTGCTGCAATGCAGCTGGGCTGGATGAGTGGGTTTGCGAGCAGTGAGAGATGAAGGAAAGGGGGTCTTGGGTGACTCAGCTAGCCCTTCAGCAATCAGGGAAGAGATGGCCAAAGGTAACCACCATTCTTTTACTCTAATTGCAAAAACACTTGAAGAGAAAATATCTGGAACCTTTGGACAACACTCCAAGCACATGAAGATAGGCACAGAAATTCTCTTGTAACTGCAAAGAGCTGCCGAGCACCAAGGGAGAGACTTTAAACTGTGTTTTATAAATAATCTGAGGGTGTCCTTTCTCCATTGCAATGGGAACCCTTACGAGCTGCATAGGCTGAAAAGCCAGCTCTCTACATGGAGTCTTGGCATTTGGAAACATCATCTGCTTGCAAAGGTTGACAATCTGAGGCTTCTGGTTAAACTCCACATCTCCTTGTTGTGAAGGGTTTGATAACTTGTGACTTGCCCTCAGTCCGTTACCTTCTGCTTACCGAGTCACAGAACACATTATATCTCCCTGCACAGCGCTACAGCAGCTGGGCTATGTTACATTCCATGTCTGTCTTGCTCAGCGTTAGATAGTACACTTAAGTGAGCTTTCCATCTAAATCAGTGAAATGCAAACAGAAAATTTCTGTTGCTTCAGCAAAGAGGCCAAATCTAACGTTCTGGCTTGGAAACACATATTTAGATGCATTTTTTAGATACATTTTTTGTTAGCATGGTTATTTTGATGAGGTTTTGTTTTGCTTGTGGATTAGATGAAAGAGACAATTAAGACTTGACTTTTTAATTGGTACTGGATGCATTTTAAACAACAGTAATAGGCTTTCTCAACAAGAACTGCATGTTCTCTTTCTCCAGTATAACTTAACTCTGACAGAGAAGACATAAAAATATAGCCAAGTAACAGCTGAAATGTGAGATCCTGCACTCAGAAGCTAAAAAAACTATTCTAATACAAAGTGTAGAATGGCTGAGTCAGCATACCAACTTAAGTTATATTTAAGCTTAAATCCAACATAAGAAAAGCATTCTCTGCTGCACCAAAACTCTTTCCTATTTTTTTTTCCCCAAAATTTTTTGGAATTACATGCTGAAAGCATCATCAACTCCAAAGCTGCTGTAAGATTAATAATGATATTAAGATGAACTTTCTAGTCCCAACTTGAATGATTTTGAGCCAGCAAAACAGCGAGAGAATTTAAAACACAAGTGAGTACCGTGAAGGCTGAGGAACAAGAGCAAGTTGCTTCCTTTTGCAGCAGTGCTTATTTCATTCTGGGATGAGGCAAAACAACTATAGCGAGTATCAGCACTTGCAGCAAATTGCTAAGCCCATCTCTTCTCAACATTTCTGTACCAGTTTATTGGATTTTTTTATGATGCTGAGTAGCACAGAGACAGAGTACATTGAACATGCAGGCAATCAGAAAAAATACTACAGAACTTGAATTAAGCTCTTTCTTCTAGCAAAAGAGCTATGGTCTGCCCAATGGTAAAGGGCTCTCAGAACAGGAGGAGACAATACAGAAAACCCAAGATAACTCATCACCACACTGATGTAGGGAAGAAAAAACAGAAGTGACAGCTTCCATTTCCCCAGACTGTTTCCCAGATTTGCTCAGAAAGAATTGGTGCAATTCTCCAGAAAGTAGCAAGTGCTTCGGAGAGGAGGTGAATGAAAGTGGTTCTGATCTCTGGAGGTTTATCAGTGCTGCTCAGAACATGTCCACCCACATTTTATAGGTGCTCATGGCTGAACACAGCCATGCCATCTCCCAGTAACTACGTCATCAGAACAGCCTGCACACCCTCTGGTCAGCTTCCACTGGAAACAAAACACATTAAGTTAAGCTTCACAGCAAGAGGAACTTTCAGTCCTGACTGTGAGCTGGGAAGCCAGCGTGTTCCCCAAGCATAGCGAAGGACAATGTCTCCATCTCCCCCACCAAGGACCCAGAGTTTACACCTCGCCCTGCTCCCTGCCTGGACAATCCAAGGTCCTGTTCCTCCATGTGGTCTCCTCTATCCTTGTCACAGACCAGTGGATCCCTCACATGTCCGTATCTCCTCAAGACCAGCCCCACCCTGGCAGCAGAAATGGGGGATGTATTTTATGCTTTGCTAGATGCATCTGCTGCTGTTCTCTGCAGAAGCCCTTACATAAATATTAGAGGAAGCCAGATGCAAGGCTTCATCCCCCCAGACCTCTTGCCTGTTGGGTGCTGTCACACTAACAGGAATGTTATCAATGCTCACTGCTCTCTAATGCTAAGCATGCCACAAGTGCTTTTGCCTCACAAACCTATTTTGCCTCACAGATTTGCCCTAATTTGTGTAAAGGAGGAGATTTGCAACACTAATTAGAAAGCTAGGACTGTTTTGTTTTCTCCAGTTCACCTTATCTTCTTCATTCAGCTCCTGAAGACTCAGCTATTAAGAGAAATTAAGTAATTCATCAAGCCCTTTTCAATTACCTGCTGTTGATAACATCAGAGTACAATTAGCATCTACAAATGAACCGAGTGCCAACTGCCAAGCAGAAACAGAAGCTAGTTTACAGCGTGGGGCGGCTTGCAAGAGCTGAGAGTCAGGGGCTGCCAGCAAACACATATTTTGTTATACCAGCAACAGCCCTGTTCTGACACTCCCAGCCAGCTGAGAACATATCCTTAACGACAGCTGGAACATCAGCAGCGCAAACGCTGCATCCCACAGCAGAGATGGAAACGCATCTTTGGTCTCTTCCACATCTGTCACTGTGAAGAATAAGCAGGAACGGACTTCACTTCGATGTAATTCAGTCTTTCCCAGCCTGCCAGCAGGATGCCATCTCTCCTTAGAAGAACATGAGACTCCTACACTCCATTATTTTAATGTTTACATTCTGAAAACAAACTTAGTTAGGATTTGACCCATGTGTATCCCAACTTAGAAGGCAGCAATATATTGACATACCCAGCTAATAAGCTCCCAAAGAAATGGCCAGGCAATAAACTACATCACTTCTTGCCTTAGTGCAAGACTCAAGTTTATTTCTGAAACCTGTATAGCTCTTCAAATGGACTTTACCTTTTCATTTCCCTTCTGCCATGAGCTTGTGCTTTCTGGTGCCTTTCTGAGCAGGTTAATAATTGAACATGGGATACATTACATCGGCACACAATCTGCCAAGTGCCTGTTTAATTTATGAAGACAGTCTGGTGAAACGAGGGTAACTAAGAAGATAGCACACAGCAAGCCTCCTGCATGCCGGCAGCAGCTCTGATAGTCACAGCATTCCCTGACAAATTCTGCTCCATGTCAGGGCCTTACCTAGATTGGAGGAGGCTCTGCCTTCAGCAGCTCGGTCCTGCAGGCTCTCAGCAATGTGCAACTGTTCTTCATGGTACTGCTTAGCCCTCTCCAGGTCCTGCATACATCTAGCTGCATGGCCCAGGCCAGCGTAAGCTCGCATCTCAATGGCCTTCTCAGCCAGGTCCTGGGCCAACTCCAACACATAGTTGTGGTAGGACATAGCTTTGTCGAAGTTTCTCCGGTAGTGGTAAGCACTGCCTAGGTTGCTGTAGGCTCGAGCTTCCTCCCGCTTGTTCCCCAGCTCCTTGGCGATCTTAAGATGTTGTTCATGGCACTGCACTGCATTTTCAAAATCCCCCATTGCAATGTACACTGCTCCCATGTTGCCCAGCTCCCGTGCCTCAGAGAGCTCATCTTTGGACTGCTTTGCAAGGAGGACACACTGCTTATGGCTAGCCAGGGCGTTTGGGTAGTCCCCAATGGCTGTGTACACATGGCCCAGACTGCTCAGTGCTGAGGACGCTGCCTGCAGGGATAAGAGAGAAAAAGTAAGTACAGGTATTCATGGAAACAAGTCAGATGACCTCAGTCCTAGAAATCAAAGTCACAAAAAGCCATTCTGGAGAAAGAATGTGACGATCAGCTAGAAAACCTGCTCTCTGCAGTTGTTCTACACCCCTCAGGGCAGCTCAGACAGAGGCAGCAGGAATGGGATTGACTCGGGAGAACAGGGCTACCTCTTTCTCTGAGACACTGTCTGTGTACCTGGTAGAGGGGAAGGATGGCACTGCAAACATGCAGAGACCACTGAGGAAACAGAAAGTGATCACTGCAGAAAACTGCACTCCAGGACCAGCCTGAGCTGTCTCACAGAGCAGTGCTTCCCCTGCAGGCAGCCACACCTCAGGTCACGTCTCATGATTACTTTAATATCTACACCAAGTAGATACTCACCTGCAAAGAACACTGCAAACAAATGTTTGCTCTGTTCCACCCTCCACCCAGTAAGCTCACCTCAAAGCAACAGACTCCTGAGACCCTGCAGGCTTATGCCAAAGCACTGTCAAGAGACCAGCAGCAAATTACAAGAATCAGATTCTTTTGCCCACTGCATCTACCAGGATGCAGGCCTGCCTTCCACCTGGCAGAGCCAGAGCATGCACAGCCAGACAGCAGGGCAAGGAGCCAACAGCAGGGGTGTGTTCCTTCTGCCTAACGCACATCTGCTGCCTCAGCATGGCTGTTCACTCCAAAACCCTGACCTCGAGTCCTCCATGATCCCTGCCTGTGCATTTCCTTCACTACCCAGCTGCTGCTGTGACCCAATTCCACAACAGCCATCTTTTCCAAAACTCCAGGAAGGAGCAGCCAAAGTGAGTGACTGCACAGAGATTGGTCTCACCCCTACCTAGCACCCTAGCTCAGGAAAGATCCAGTCTACCCTTCCACCCAGGATGGTGACACAGTGTCTCAGGACATGTCCTTGCTATTCAAAATGGCATAACCCCATGCTACCAACGAAGAGGCAGCCTCACCCTTTTCCTGTCCTTGGCTGTGAGGTCCCAGTGCACCCTTAGGCTAGCGTTCCTGTTCATGGAGTGGATTCTGAGCTCTCCAATCACCCATTCAAATTTCCTATTTCCTAACAGGCAAGATCTTTGCACTGGGCGGTGTCATGGAGGGAAGAGCAGCTCGACCACAACACCAGGCCGCAAGCCGATATGGCCCCTTCAGCTGTCCCACTGTTGGGAAGAAAGGCATTATCCCTCTGTTCTTGCTTTCTGAGCTCAACCACTGGAGCCACCTGTTTGGCATACTTTTATTTTGCTACTCCCTTCAGGCTATGACTTGGATGGCCTAAAGTATCTGATCCTGGTGCTTTTTGTTTAACGACCAAGCACACTTTACCTTTCTGCGTGCAATATCCCTAGGCACAACACCAAGAGCTCTCCCATGAAACGGGATTCCACATGGTAAGCGTAAGGCATGCAACTGAAAGCACCTCACAGGTCATGCCAACCAGCTATCTCCAATTTGAACACCACGGAGCTGGACAAAGGCTTCAGTACAATGCCACTGATAAAGACACCAGACTAATCCCCAGGGGACACAAGATGAGCTGTAAAAAGTGAGCTTCTTGTACTGCACACATGAGATATCACTCAGACCACAACTCCGCAGAAAGGTTCAGACAGCAGGTGGACTTCTAGGGTTAAACTCACCTAAGACTTTGCAGATTCAAGCCCACCTCTTTTAACTATTCTAAGCAGCTGCCCCTTCCACACTACAAGTGCACAGAAACACACACTGACATCAAGGTTGGAAGGAAAACACTTACTTAAATTAAGCAACTGGAGTAGCTAAGGGATGGTGCTGGCTCCTCATCAGTGCCCAGAGTGGCCATGATGAATCTCTCCAACCCACCCAGCATCAGACCGGTAAGTCCTGCCACCTCTTCCCTGTGAAGTCATACATCTGCCCCCAGGAACTACATGAGTTGCAGAGCTTCCCCTCTGGACACTCGCCTTGCCTTGATAAACTGGTATATTCCTATTTGGCTCCCACCTGCAGACTGGCTATGCCCCACAGATGCAGGATTTTAACTCCCTTCCTCAAGGCAAATGATTAACCTCCTCCTGTCCACGTTATCTAAAGATCAGATATAAAAAGAAAGCAGATCAGAAAATCTCTTCTACAGGAGGAGAGCTGTTCAGCACCTCTCTACGGGAACCACATTTTGCTACTGAAATTGTGTCCCTGAGGAAAGGAGCCTTTCACGACTTTCATAAACAGCGGCAGGAGAAACCTTCCTAAAGATTATTTTTACTAAAATTATATCACGACTGGAAGAGTAATGCTAAGGCAGGAAGATCTATGGGCTACAGCAGGAGGCAGAGAGCACACGTGATACTTTTTTCTTCTCAGCAGTATTAACAGAGTAATATTTCCACACAGAGGAACTGTAAATATGCTGTGCTGATTCAAATTAATAGGGAAACCATCTTTTCTGATACAAGAACCTGAGGTGACAGATTAGCTATTGAACACAATTTATAGGTCATAATATAGAATAAGGAAGCTCTCCCTTGACCAGCTCCATAAATAGCCAAGCTGCATTTGTTCTCCCGGAGGCATCCTTTCAGGCAGCTTAATTATAAGGGAAGAACAGCCAGAATTCAAAATATCTTAATTTTTTTTCACTTAGTGTTGCAGATGAACTTCATTCAATGCAAGGGACAATGCAAGAACACCAGTGGCAAAGCAGCAGCTGCCATAGGAAGCCCTGCAGCATCCTTGCAAGGCTGCGGTACCACTCCACATGACAGTGGGATGGGAAAGTCTTGGCCTCAGTCCCACAGATAGCAATGGATTCCATGCTGGCAATACATGCTATAATGAAGTAAGTTGCTTTTGCTGCTGTAATTACCACATAAGAGAGAGGGTAGCAGCTATCATCAACTCTTCAGTGACACAGTGACAGAGCTGGGGACAAAGCCACTGAACATGTTGCCACATGGTCAAATGGTTTATTGGGCTTGGGAGGTGTTTCTCCAATAGCAAGCACCACAGGTGGTGTGAAAACCACCTAAACGCTCCAGAAAGAAACCATTTACAGCTTCTGCAGAAGCACAGGTACTTAGCTCAGAACATCAGGGACCAAAGCCATATTCACTCCAAAACTTACCTCTGCAGGACACCCTGCAGACCACTGCTCCCTTCACCTCACCCCTACCTTCCACAACTACTCCTGCTGGAAAACTCCACATCACCAGCTAGACCTGGCATCCAGCCGGCTGCCACAAGACAGGCGCCCAACAGGACCGCAACGCCTCGGGAAGGGAGCTGGACCTGCTGAGTGCGGCAGCTGGCCAAGAGGGCCGCAGCCCCTCACTCCTGGAGGGCAGGCACTGGCAGAGGTCCCAGCCTCTCCTTGGTGCTGCTGCAACCGGCCAGGCTGCGCAGGCGTGAGCAGCTGCCTCCACGCGTGCGGCAGCGGTCAGAGCGGGGAGGAGGCGCTGCTCCATCCTGGTCAGACTCGCTGCGGCATCAGGGCGGTTTGACCCCGGACGGGCTCTCGAGCAGCCCAGGGAAGTAACATTTTGTCTGACACTGGGGAGGAAATGCTCTTATCTAAAACAGGGTCTCAAGGGGCCTCTTTTAAGGCTACCACAAAACCAACATGAAAATTTTTGCTCTGAATTTTAATCCATTTTTACACAGATCTTCACGAAGATTAATCTATACATAGTTTTGAGTCATTTGCAATCTCACTGGGGAAAAAAAGGAAAAAAAAATAGATACATGCAGACATTTTGCACAAGCCCAGACCAAAACACTGTGTGGGGCTCATTACAGGCTTCAAGGTGCACTGGAGCTCCCTTCATCTTGCTGGTGAGCAACACACTCACTGCTGCACAGCACAAACCAGTAGGCCATTTTGGCCAAAGTTAAAAACCAGCACAGTGCAATCAGCAGAACTGATTCAGCAGCCTCAGTTAATTCTGAAAGGCAGGCCACCAGCAGCACTTCTATATAATTGTGAAGAGAATGGAAATGTCTGTCTAGAAAACAAGGAGCCAGTGAAAACTGGTGACTCCTGGGGCTGCTAAAAAAAAGTGGACATTTATCCATGCAAAATGCTGAGTAAGATGAGCTATGGCAAAGAGCCGTCTAGACAGAGACTCGGATGATGTTAATGGGTTATGGCGAGGGAAAAAAAAGCATAAATGGAAAGCAGCAGATCTCAGACTTTCTGTGCACAAGAGAAACTTGACAGATGCAGAGACTGCTCATGCTGTACATGGGAAGAAATCTTTAGGTCTGCTAGACTGGGAATTGAATCATAGGAAGTGAAACTTGTGTGGCTGCAAATGTTTATTCTCAGGGCTCCTAATTCTTTGACCAACAGCATTTCCAGACTCACAGTAAAGATCTAGAATGAAGGGCACAAGCCTGGCAACCGTTCTCAGGGCATGCAAAAAGACTTCACTTACACATCTGAGTGCCCAGGGTGGGATCGTCCAAACCAGGATGTGGGAGGAAGACAAGAGAAGCAGAAAAGAAAAATAAGTAGGATGAGACCAAAAAAAGAAATGCAAAAAGAAGGTAAAGGGCTGACAAGAAATAGCCTGACTTGATTAGAAAGATGGGTCTGTTTCTAGAGGCTCAGCTGTTGCTCACAGAGACAGCTAGACAAAGGCAGGAAGGCCGCCCCTACCCTCTGACATGGCCTTCACACCAATGCTCCCCTGTTTTATTCTGCAGCAGCTTCCACTGCTAACTGACCCAAGTGCTCTGAGAGAAGCACTTCTAAATCATCTTGGAGTCTGCATGAGCAGAGCCTATGGCACTTCTGGCTTCCCTGGGGCAGGCTGTATGCAGCATCTCTTCTCCTGCAAGATAACTATGAGTACTCTCTATGTGCTCGCGGGGGCAATCAGTGGAAAGACTATGGAGCTTGACATTAAAGCAGCGTTTAGGAACACTTTGGTGATTACATCTGCTGGGGGACACCAATGACTCACT